TGGGTCAATGTCCTCCCTTTTCGTCAGATAATCCGCCAGTTTTATCAAGTCCCATACCTGCAAGTGATATAGTCTATCTGAAATTATTCCATTTGATATCCTAATCCGTTGGTTACATTTGCAGCTAATTGTTCATTCATAGTCCCAACAATTCAGTTTCCAAATGAAACGAGACGCTACCGTGTCAAATATGAACGGCATGGTATCGCCTCTTTTCCATGAAGATATAAGAGCCTGCACTAGATTATGACATCAGGTTAGGATTTAGCTCTGCAAAAGAAAAGGGTACTCTTCTGCAGAGACTAAGAAGAGCTAGAAAGTCATATTAACATATCATTGGTTGATTGACAATATCACTTCGTTGGCAGCCAGATTCAATAAGAAGATATGCCAATTCATTGCCTCAGATTCTAAGAATTTAAGCCCTTGTGTTCACAGTTTCACTAGTGGGCGACGAGTGATAAGCTAGTCAGTCAAGTAGCGAGCAAATTTTTGAGTTTTGGAAAACTCATAGATAAAAATGTAACAGTTTAAGCCCACCGCTAGTAGATATTGTCCTCTTTGAGTTTTCTCTCAAGGTTTTAAAACAAGTCTATTAGGGAGAGGTTTCCACACCCTTAGAAGTAATGTTTCCTTCCCCTCTCCAACCGATGTGGGATCTCACAGTCCACCCCCTTGGGGGCCTAGCATCCTCGCTGACACACTACCTGGTGTCTGGCTCTGATACCATTTATATCAGCCCAAGCTCACCGATATCAGATATTATCCTATTTGGGTTTCCCCTCAAGGTTTTAAAACGTGTCTACTAGGAAGAGGCTTCCACACTCTTATAAGTAATGTTTCGTTCCCCTCTCCAACCGATGTGGGATCTCACAATCCACCCCCCTTGAGGGCCAACGTCCTCGCTAACACACTACCTGGTGCCTAGCTCTGATACCATTTGTATCAGCCCAAGGAGAGGTTTCCACACCCTTATAAGAAACGTTTCGTTCCCCTCTACAACCAATGTGAGATCTCACAATCCACCCCCTTAGGGGCCAATGTCCTCACTGACACACTACCTAGTGCCTGTCTCTAATACCATTTGTAACAGCCTAAACTCACTGCTAGCTGATATTACCCTAATTGGGCTTCCCCTCAACGTTTCAAAACGCGTCTACTAAGAAGAGGTTTCCACACTCTTATAAGAAACATTTCATTCCCCTCTCCAACCGACATGGGATCTCACAAAAAACAACTCAATTGGCTAAAACGAAGGGACATAAACAACAATCAGCATACATCATAGTAAGTGGTTTTGTTCTTGGCCCTTTCACCATGGTAACGAGAATCAATGGCAATAGCTACATAACCCCTTGATGCATAAGCCTGAAAGAAGCAAGAATACATTGCATTATCTACTTCTAACAACTTATGATATCAACAAAAGGCAATAGCAAAAGAAACAGATACCTCAAGCAATGGTCTCAACCACTCTTTACACTTATTTGTACTGTGCAGAAAAACAATTGCAGGTCTTTTTTGCTGTCTGCTATCCTTCATGCTTATAATCAATATAGGCAACTTCCCTTGCTCTCCTTCCTATAAATGATTAGCAAACAACTACATTATTCCATTACATTCCGTTACATCACGTCCTGCGTATAGTTAACGCGAAAAGTACGAGAGCATGCTTGCCTCGGTAGTCAGGTGAAGATTTTCCTCATGAAGCAAGTCCTTCAAATTGCTAAAAGTTGCCTTTGGACAAGAAGCCATAGCCTTTAAACAGGCAAATAAATCAACATGGGCAGGCTACTATTTAAACGAAGACTAAAGAACGAAAATAAAATACTGCATCAACCTTACTGAAGGCCGGCGGGTTGGTCTCCTGAATAGGCATTGTGCGCTTCACATTAAGCGGGACTGCGAAGTTCAATTAGACATCATAGAGTCATAATCTCTGTTGTAGGAAAAGTAAACTGAAGGTAGTACTGAGAGCTCTATGACCCTCAACTTTCTTACAAGAATTGTCTTCTTCGGCTGCCGACCCATACTAGCTAAATAAGGGGAAGATCATGGGTAGTATATAAGGGACATTGTCTTTATTGGTAAGAGGTTTTGTGGGAAAACTAGAAGAAGCCATGAGAGCCTATTCTCAAATGGACAATACCATACTGTTGGGGAGGTTCGTTGTTCCTAGTAGTGGTATCAGATTCATGCCCTTATCTTAACTTAGACATGTCAACAGAATCCCCAAAGGTCGAACAAAGAAGTTGTGGGTCTCGAAGGTGTAGTCATAGTAAAGATTCGTGGTAGAACTCTATTACACTAGCACTAACAATGTGTTCCAAAGAAGAGATAGTGCTATACAAATAGATATGACTATTTAAGGGAAAACTCATTGTATACTTTGTTCGATGGGAGAATGGTTGGAATCTCATGTTCGCTAATTAAGAGAAAGATGATAGGTAAGTAGTATACTATTCCATTGGTACGAGTCATAAGAGTAGACAATATCATACCATTCTGAAGGTCCATAACAGAAGAAGAAAGAAACACAATTTGCTAATTCATACAAAAAGGCAAAACATTCATCGAAAGATGTGGAAAGCAAGAAACATGGCAGCAAATAGACGGCGAGCATTCGAACCAAGCAAGAATTTCAGAGCCAAAATTCACAAACTTCTGAGCTACCCAGAACAGACATCAAAACATTCAAGGTAAACTAAAACAGAGAATAGAGAAATAACAATCGAATTCAATTTCGTACCTTCTGGAGATCGTCTACTACGCAAAACTCGAAGGAATTCAGCCCGAAACTTGTCAGCGTCAACGACAGCTTCACCCATTTGACAGTTTCCCAAGGCTGCGACCCTGTACAAGGATTTAATCTCATTGGAACTTTGGCGGTTCCATGGCGAAGTTGCTGCAAGGCAGAGGCGTGTTAGGGAAGGGCGGAGTAGGGCGTCAGGTATGAGAATTGCCATTATTATTGTACTGCGTCGTTGGCCCACATCGTTTTTCCGACAGACTGAACGGCTGACGCAGAGTTGCCGCCTTTTCTTTTTCCTTATCGTTATAATATGGTTTGCGTAATTTTGCAGTCTGCAGGCACTCGCCAAACGCCGATAAGGACCGGCTTGGCTGCGTATAAATACAATATTGATGTCGAAACTTTGATACAATTCTCCCTTGCGTCTCCACGACCACCAACTGATCCTATTTTCGCATCTAGTGATGCGCATGCAATCAAGGGAACTTGCAGTGGCAGACACGTAATTTTTCTATTAATTAAAAAATATCTTCTTTTATTTTTTTCTTTCACTTATTTCTATCTCACAATCATAGAACACAATTTTATTTACAACCACGTATGATTATAATATAATTTATTTGTAAGCAACTTCATTTAATTGCATAGTAGAGGAATTAGGTGCACCGTCACTGTCGATAGTTTTGAGACGCTTGCTGTCAAGCTCATAATTTACCCATTATGTATTACCGTCAACTTCACAGTTTTAAAACGCTTTTACCCGTTATGTAGCGCTATCAAGCTCACGACTTACCCATTATGTATCATTGTCAGCTTCACGATTTTAAAATGCGTCTACTAGGAAGAGATTTCTCCACATCCTTAAAAATGAATTGTTCATTCTACTCTTCAACCGATATAAGATTTCACAATTCACCCTCTTGGAGGCCCAATGTCCTCGCTAGCACACCGTCCATTGTCTGACTCTGATACTATTTGTAACCGTTCAAGCCCACTACTAACTGATATTGTCCACTTTAGCCAGTTACGTATCACAGTCACTCTCACGATTTTAAAACTCATCTACTAGAGGGTAAGATAAACTTTTGGATTCAACATTTAATACGTTTCAATGACATTATTTTATCACGAGTCTCCCATCTTTTTTAAATGTCTTTATGGCAAGTAATGAATAGAGTCCATGAAAGTTTCTAATAAAATACTTCTCTGGACTGAGCTTCTTGAGAAAATCGCCTCCAATAGGCTCAAAATCTAGCATCGACTAGTAGACTAGTCTGAATTTTCCACAGCAGATATAAAAACACTGCCTGTAACAAGTGCAGTACACAAGATTAGTTGTAGGTGAAACTGCTCAGGAGGTTACAGATTAATGTAGACTGAATTTCCCGATTATAGTAAAAGAAAGGAAGTAGTTCAATACAAGAATTGGAACCCTTAAAAAGATGCATAGAGATTGAAGAGGACATTAAAGTGAGCTAAATCGTTCTTGTTTTAGTAAATATATGCATAAAGTGTGTGGATGTGAGAAGCTGATTAAATAATGGAAGTGCGTCTCACTTTGGAGCATAAAGTAACTAATAATACCTTTCGATGATGTTGATGTTGGGGTTATTAAAAAGGATATTGTTTGGTTTTATAAGGGTCGACAGGACCCAACCACCCCAGTAAATTGGCTGCATTAGCTGCCTTTTGAATGGAACATGCATGCCACCACGGTCTTGATAGACCCTGGTATCTGGATATTGTCCACGAGTAAAAGCAACTGCCAAATATCAACAGAAATCCGTGCAAAAGTAGAGCAGAAATCACTTATTAAAGAAATAAAATCGTATATTAGGACCCATTACCGTACACCTCGAATATTGTGATTCACAGAACTGCATGCTGACAATCTTTGGTACAAATGCATATTGCGTTCTTGGGTTGTACGAGCTCATCATGCATGTCTACCAGCTTCATTGTCTGCAACATTTTTGGGAAGGAAGCAGTTCCCTAGCAAATACATTCCCAACCCATAAAACTCCAATGTCCAAGTCAAATAAAGATCTGTAACTTAAACGTGTTCCAGAAAAAACTGCAGTTTCACTGTACGCAATTTCATCAAAGTTAAACCTGATAAAAATAAATCTAAAGCTTCGATGAAGTGCGAAGCAGTATGGTTTGGTTATGGACTTGGCTCTTCGTTCTTCCCGCAAGCTTTTTTTTTTTTTTTTTTTCAGAGAGAGAAAGGGGCGGTACCGCAAGCTTTTTTTTTTTATAGAGAGAGAGTAAGGGGCGGTACGAAAGATTGGTCCGTTCCACAAAGCTGAGCTTTTCGGTTCACTCCCCCGGCCTTCTTACTAGTCTACCTCCTTTCTCTTAATGGAATATAACAATGCCCGAGCTCCTGCTTTGCTTGCGTTCTTCACCGGCACTGGTCGGGGCTGTCTCACTTATCCTGCTCCTAAGGTAAGGAGTCATGTCTATTGTGTGTTAGAATCTTTACGGGAGTGAATCGCATGTGTTGGTTGGGAATTGCTCAAGAATCATCGATAATGACTTTGCCAGGTTCTAAGGGTTCCCCTCTTCTTTATTTGTGGATCGAGCCATGGTAAAGGTTCTGTACGATTATAATACTCATAACTTTGTTGAAGATGGTGGACCATCCACACATCTAGTAGAATATTCATAAAAAAAAATTAAATACTAGTACACATAGTTAACCTCAGTTATATACTATAATCTTTCACCTATCGTGTCAATGCGAGACGTTCAGTCATATTCCAAACGAATCCTCACAATATGATCAAAGAAGAAAGCACAAGGTATTGGTAGACTCACTTGGTTCCTTAGAGGCTGTCGAGGTAAGGGGTATCTTGTTCAAGTCATTCTCTTTTCTCTACGTAAAGAAAATGATGTAGTAGCATCTCTAGACACAGTTCAAGCCTATGCAGTTCTAGGGTTTTTCTTTTTTTTTAATTTAAAAAATGTCGGTTTTAGGAGTTTGAATTAGGGTCTTTGATGACTATAATCAACGCTGTTCTAAATAAGGTACAAATGGGGTAGTCCTCCTGAGAGTCCTAGGCTACTTGTGCCCCACATGGCCACATCAAAAGCATTACACTTCGAAGACATTTTACGGTACAATAGTTTTACTCAAAGGGCACAGCTTCTGAGTTCTGATATCATGAACTTTTGAGGGACAATATTATTATTTAAGAAAAAAAGGACAAACCTTCCTTGGACCAGTAAGAAACCAACGGTACTCTCTAGAAGATGACGTGTCCAAAAACTATGGGCCTTTAAAGCTATATTCTCTTCGTTTCTTTCTTTTATCTTTTTAGTTTTTGTTGGGGGAAAAGGGTTAAAGTGAATTGGATAATGTTATGTGAGGCTTACGAGCGAATTCAAAATTTCTATGTTTCCTTTCGTTATCCATACAGACCCTCTTCTTCCAAATTTTACCCTCAGTCCTTATTTTTAACCCCCTAAAACCCCATAGTTAACAATCTCCATTAAAATGTCTAGTTGGGTAAAATTTAAATTTTCACAACATTTTATGATCATTTGTCTGGCCCCTGCTTGTTTAAAAAAAAAAAACCCAATGCTATAAAAGTAAACAAATTAGTAATCACAATTTACCGTAGGAAAAATGTCAAAAACGTACTTTACCATTATTTTGACCATGTATGCCTATATTTTTTCCCATCAATTTTTATTGTTAAATTATAGTAACTGGGAAAGAGAAGAAAAATTTACCGCGTCCGCCATTTGCCTGCATCTCATCGACCATATATAATATATACCACAGATACAAACCCGAACCAGCTGTGCATAGAAATAAATTAAATTGAATAAGCACTCAATACTTATAAACATAATGTTAATTCTACTCAAAAAGTCGTGGTAACATTTATTCGACATATTACATATTCATTCACCAATCGTATTTAAATTGAATGTTTTAAATTTAATCTTACTCGCCATTCAATTTTTTCACTAATAGATCCGTTAAGTTTTTGCCATCGCAACAATGATGCGATATTTTATCTACTATGAGCACAAAGTCTTACGACTTTGCTATTTGTTCCACCCAATAGGCTTCGTATCAATGAACATGTGGTCTCACACTCATGTAATCGTAGTCTTCGAACAAAAAAAATTCGATGTATTAGGCACTTAAAACTGGAGACACATTTTAGAGTTAAGGACCAAGAATATGCTAATTCACAGTTCAATCTCTTCATACCGACAATAAACTTTACTAATTAGCGCGATAAACTACTAAAAGAGATCGTAATGAAAAGGAAAATACCAGAAGAAAAAACCATCCCCCACGCAGTGGCTGGCAGCATCCTTATGCTAAGGGTGGGGTATTGATGAAAGGGCAGCAACTTTATGACTGCTCCTGCGACTGCGCTACAACCGACAACCGAATAAAAGCAATTGAAGGCCTCACTCGTTGTGTGGCCAAAAATGTCAATGTCGTTCTTGCGCCAGCAAATGAGATCGCAATTGATTCCGCGATATCGATGTGATATTTTGTTTGAGAATCCGTCCTCGAGCGCAGAAGAACGCGATGGTGACTGCCGACCGCTCTGTTAGAAATAAAACTACCCTAATTCGTCGTTATACAATCTATTTGTTCACCAAGTATGAGGCAAAATTGGAATTCGTCTCAGTTTGCTAAACTAATTAATCCGACGAATTACTACCAGAAAGCCAAATATCAAAGAATTAATGTTCAAAACAACAATAGAGATTCCAGCAGCCCTAAGAGAAACAAAGATTTAGTAACCTAACAAGTACTTTCGGTGAAGATAAACGACCAAAGCGCTCTGAGAGCTGGTTGTACCAAAACAATGGCAATCTGTACGGACAAGATAAACTCGAGGAAGTAAGAGTAGAGCTCGTACCTCCGGATTCAAGAACTCACATGGCGAAGCGAAGTCGACGCAGATTGCGAAAAGCGCTTCATCTTCAACGCGCTCACTGTCGGTGCATTTGAAATTGAACTTCCCGTCCTGCGATTAGTGGGGATTGAACAAACTCCACCGATCTCCCTCTCTCTTTCCATGACGGCACGATTTGAAAACGATCGAACAGGTGAAATTGAAAATCGATGTGATCGTGGGAAATGAGTGAATCGGAGATCAGAATCCATGGACCGTCTGATGTGAGTGGGCTTTAGGTTTTGTTCATCAAGCGGCGATTTGGGGTGCCATTTTGGCGCGCATAGGGTCGGACAAGTATCGGCGGTTTGGCGCCATCGAGACGTGGGGATCTCTGATTCCCCAACTTATCTTTTCCCTTTCCCCCTAAATATATGAAAAATAAATAAATAAATAATTTAGCAAATAAATCGTCGCTATATTTTTTTATTTATTTATCACTTCTTTCTGGTTAAAAAAAAAAAGGTGGAGATGTCTTTTATCTAAAAAAAGACTTATTTTAGCGGATCAAAATTATTCTGAAAAAGTAATAATTTGAAATAAAATAAAATAAACCAAACAAAATCTCATATTTAATTAAAAATCATAGAATAATTAATTTTTATATAATAAATGTAAGGTTCTCATGTTTATTATATTTATGAAAATTTTATTTTGCATATAATGGGTCATCTACTTATTCACTATTTTAAAAAAATTACGAATTTATTCCCTACAAAATTTAAATTTTAATAGAAATAAAAAATAAATTTATATTTAGTAGATTAATTTATTTATTAATTTTTGAATATATCATAATATTTTTTAAATTCAACAATCTATTAGACAATATTAAAAGTTGAAGAACGAAATAAATATAAATCTCGAATTTTATGATCGAAGTAATTTAACCATAGGGCTTAGTTATCGGTGATAATATCGATTAATTGGTATTAGAGTATTAGAAAACTAATTCATAATTAACAAATTATAAAATAAATAAATGAATAAAGTACATTTAATTTATAGAATATTGAAACTTCTAAAGTTTACTTATCGGTGATGCAAGACAACCTAACTTTCTCTCCCAAACGGCATTATATAACCCACCCCGATTTGGTGCATGCATGATACCTGGCAAACCTGGCCTTCAATTGTCACCCTGATGTGATCAAATAGCTCCAGACACGTTGCAATTTCTTCAACGCCGGCGTATCCCGCCGCCCATTACAGCATTATTGGTAACCCCGATGGGACATTGGGAAAAATTATATTACATACGTCTCTCGCTCTCGTCACTTTAAAATGTGTTTGTTAGAGAGAGGTTTTCGCACACTTGTAAAAGATTTCACAATCTATTTCTTGGAGGACCCAGTGCCAACATATTATTTGATGTGTGGTTTTAATATCACTTCTAGCGAGTCAAAATGATATGAACTGATAGACATCAGTCATACAATATACTTCAATGAAGATGTAAAGAAAAGGTGGTCAAAATTATCAAAAGATGTTTCAATTCATGCAAGATTGAAGAATAATGAAGTTTGATTGTTATAAATTTTGGGTGGGTTACCATTTAGAGTAATTTATAATTATTGTATTTTAAGACTTTTTATTTACTTTAGGTTACATCTACATAATGGCTAATTATGACCATAGAGTATGAATGTTACCACTCTTGGAATGCCTTTAATAGTTTCATTTTTGAAGCTACGATGTATTTGTAAGCAGACTTGAAAAATAGAGTAAAAGAAGCATGTGTGCTTCTCTTTAGCCAATAGCTAAGTTTTTTTTGCAACTCTAATAGTTTAGGTTGCATCTAGAATCATTCAAGCTCGACATGATCAATCTTGTTTGAAGTGTTATTTTCTTGAGATATTTGATCAACAAGAATCATTCAAGCTAGATATGATCGATCTTGCTTGTGGAGTGATTCGAATCTCAAACAATGTTCTTGTCTTGAAATATTTGATCAACAAGGTAATTCGAATCTTACTCCACTTGCATTGATTTTACATAAAATGGACAACATTTATTAGAAGTGGACGAGGAAAAGTAGGAAGTAGAAGATAAAGCGAGGCGTTATTTTGGAAGCAAACAGTGGTGGGTCTAATTGTGGCGTGGGAGTCCGGTTTGAGCTGGCTTTGGCATACATGGGTGCAAGCGCAGCAGCTGCCATTTAATAGTATACAGGATCTCCAACTCATTCACCGGCCCCATGCAAATGCATATCATGCATATCATGGTAATTCATGCTATCACCACATTTTACCTTTTTGCCCTTTCTTCCCATTTTTACATTATAATGTGTATTATCTTACCTAAAATTCAATAAATTAATCGTTAAAATACTTAAATTGGTATTCTTTTTTTCAATTTTTCAAAAATTAAATTTATTTTATAAAAAATAAAATAATTAACTCACACTTACCTGGTTTAGAAATTTTAGGGTTTCCAATGAGGAGGTAGAAGTCCAAAGTCGAGCTTATAAGGCAAGTCGCGCGTGTGAGGTACGCACCAATTACAAGGCGTTTAAGTGGGAAGGCATCTTTTGATTTTCATGACACGACAGGGCACAAATGGGCTTATCCCGATTCGTCAAGAAAACGCGAGTGGTAAGCTGCGCGTGGTGAGATTTTTTTTTTTTTTTTTGGAAAAAAAAAAAAACTTGCTAGGGTTTCCATGGCATTTGACGCCCAAATGGTGGTATGGCCTTGAGATAAGAAGGTGCCACGTGTCGAGCCATAATTAATTCCACGAGCTCCCACGCTTTTTTTTTATTACCACCACTCTCTCTAAATAAATAGGTCGCGGATGTTATGTACATGTGGAATGTGGATGGCATGGCCATGGATGATTTTTAATACCCAAAAAAAAAAAAAAAGGAGGAAAAAATATCACTCCACTACCTATAGATCTCTCTCCTCTCTCTCTCTCTCTCAACTATCGAAATTTCCCTTTCTCTCTCTAGGGTTTTCGGAGCTTCGCACTCAAATTCTGCTCCATCATCTTCGAATCTCATCTTACAGCTTTGATCTGCGACTTCCTATATAAATGCTCTCTCTACCGCTGCAGTTTCGTCGACAGGCCGTGAAGAATCGCCGTCTAGTTCATCCGTCGTCGTTCCGATTGTCAGTTGGCTGAGCTAAGGTGCGTTTTCGACTCCATTTAATTTTCCTTCTTCTTCTGTGTGGATCTTCGATTTGTTTCCTTTTTATCATTTCAGCTGTTTTTCATCTCTTTTCAGCTCTTTTCTTCGTCATATTTTAGCTCTTTTTTTTTTCTCTCTATTTACCTCCTAATATTTGGTTCTGGTTTTTTCTTCTCCGGCTGATTTTTGGAAAGTGATTTGGCTTAGTTGACGGAATTTCATGTGCTACTTTCAGTTACTTAATGTGTTACTCTGTCAACTTTTGTCTGTCTCGAATTTCTGAGCTGAATAAAAACCCTAAATATTTTTCATCGGACCAATTCGCATCCATCGCCCAATCCACTGCTGTTAGAATTTTCTCAGACGGTGAGTATTTTAGCTGGCTTGATAAAATCCATTTCGTTTTTTGTCGTCTAGTGTACCTCCGCTATGTTCAGGTAATTGATCTCGCTAAACCCTAGACTACGCTTTTCGTACTATAGTACTGAATATTGCTTTTCTTTGAATTATATATGGGCGGAGCTGATTATGTCTGAAGTTTATCGTTTGTAATATCTGAAATAGGTTTATAAACCCTAATTATTTAAAGTAATTAGGGTTTATGGTTCATTTCCATTGAATTTCATGTACTAATAAGTTGCAGGTGATCATTATTTTATGTGTAATTTCAAGTGTCTTGGATAAATGTTTGCTTCACGGGTCGTTTCTCTGAAATTATGCATCCTCCTTTGTTAGAAGTTATTATTTTATGTGAGCAATAAGTTCATATGATAACCATTTATACACTTCAGCAAGGCCTATATGTTCCTTCTTACTGACCGCTTATTGTCTGTAAAAACATTAGATCTTTTTTTTTTTTTAATATATATATATATATATATGCAACATTTGATGCTTATCGGTTTATGTTACTTCCACCATTTGATTACTAATTAGCTCTGCTGCTTGGTATATGTTCACAAATTGGTCTTTCTACAGTAGCTTACCAAAAGTCTTGTAATGGACGAGGAGCATCATCAGAAGAATGATTCTAGTATCATTTTGAGGACTTCAGTCCCGTTCATTGAGATTGACTCTTTATTTATAGATCTTTCCAGTTGTATTGATAAACCCGATGCTGGAAACTCTGATCATTTCTCCATACGGTATATGACCTTTACATTACCAAGTTGAAAAGTTTTTTGTGTTCCTTTTTCAATAAGTTATATGGCTTTGTTTGAAAACTGTGACTGGGTTAACTAGTGCTTGGTTCGTGCACGTGTCGTCGAGATATTCATGATTATGTCTCCTAGTGCAGTTATACCCACAAATGATTCATTTTCACGGCTTGGTTTTCATGCTAGCTAGTGTTATTGTCCATGTTGAAGATTGTTGGGAGGGAGTTCCACAATGGCTAATTTAGGGAATGATCATGGGTTTATAAGCAAAGAATACATCTCCGTTGGTATGAGGCCTTTTGGGGAAGCCCAAAGCAAAGCCATGAGAGCTTATGCTCAAAGTGCACAATATCATACCTTTGTGGAGATTTGTGGTTCCTAACTGTCTAACAGAATTGTAAACATTTCTACTTTCTTTCAACTGTTTTGTCAAATTTGGAAATTTCAGTTGCAAGCTTTTTTGAGAATGCATAGCAACTAAAATTCAAGTTCTCTTTACTTTTTGGTGGGTTTAGTGCCACTTATCACATAGCTGCTTTCTATATTGCTATCCAAGCGAAACAAATTTGTAAGATGAAATTAGCATTTGAGCTCACCTAGCTAGTTTAACATGTTCTTCCAACATGAATTTCAGACAGTAATTATTTCAGAACTAAGAGGTTAGGTTAAGAAAAGATCTTTCGATGAAGTGAATGTTCAATATCCTGTAAATCCAGTGTCTTCTGTATATTACGCGATGAATTAATTTCCTCAAAACATGTTCTCAACATCTGATGTACAACTCCTTTTCCTCGTCAATTGCCTTTTGTTCAGTGGATATGCATCTCAAATGCGTGAAAAAGATTGGAAAAAATGCTGGCCATTTGATTTAGATGGTGACTATGAGCCTACAGAGACAATGTCCTTTCTTCCACCTTTTCATGTTCCGCAGTTCAGGTGGCAGCGATGTCGAAATTGCAGGAAGGAGACTCCTGCAGGTGGGCTAAGGATTTATTAGTTGACTGTTGCCATGCCATTTCTACCATTCAAAAATTGTACCCCCCC